GTTCTTTCGATTTTCTTTCAGAAGAATGCAATTGCAGTATGGACATAATTGAAGTTTTCGGGAAAATGGCAGTTTTTTTGGAAAAACTGCAGTTTTTCCAAAAAAACCTCTGTAGTATAGACATACCCAGAGAAAATATAGCTCAAACTAATCCTGGGTCGTGTCACACAGATGAAGTGATGCCCAGTTAGATCATGATTAAATCTGGTCCAATAACTCTAAGAACATAATTTTTCATCAGTAATCATTCATAACAGAATTCATGAGACAGCTGCATATTTATTTCTGGCAAATAAGCAAAAGACACATATACTGCCATAATATTAAGATTAACTTGAGCTCTTTCTCCTCTTTAATAGTCATTTCACAACCCTTGACACATTGTATATCTCCCCCAATGAAGCAACAAAAACATTTATCTTCAGAACAAATTACAGGAATAACAAACCTACCTGCCTAGTGTTAAAAGGACTGTAGCATGTTACGTGAATGACAGCTCACAGACTCTTTCTGATGATTCAATAAAGTTGAACATGATACTAATTCTGTTTCATTTTGTTTGATCAAAGTATAAGTAAAGGTTCAAAGGAAAATTGGGAATTAAGGACAGTTGAAATCTGGCTATAAAGAATCTTCTGGCTTAGAATGATTTGCACTTGGCAATTTTCAACCATGATGTTCCATGTGCTCTATATTCCTGGGATTTGGCGATTTTTGGTCATAAGTTTCACAGCCCCCTTTTGGTTAAGTATTATTATCCCTATTATATGTGTGGGTAAACCGAAATACAGTGAAATCCTGATCCCACTGCTGTCAATGGCAAAATTCCCATTGATATTGATAAGGACAGCATTTCACCCATAGAAACAAAGGACAAAATTTCAAATACATAAATTAATTTTGGAATGAAGAGTGTTTTAGAGCTGTGACTTGAGTTTAGGACATTTGAGGATTAGGACCAGTGTTTTGCAGTATGATGAATAGAACAATTCTTTTCTTCCTTGTTTTAACAATCAATTTGCATTTCATTTACTCAGTCCAGACCTCTGGGTCAGGATACTTGGTCTGGTGATATATCTTTGAACTGTTAATTTTAGAGATCTGCAATAAGTGCTTTGGAATTTGTCATGAAAATATTAACTATTTTATTTGATTTTTCAGTATCTGGGACCTGGATAACATGCATTTACTCATCTGAATGCCTCTTTAAAACTGATTCATTTTTTGTGAAGAATTCTTATTTTCCTTTAATACACTTGGTTTGGATCAGAATTTGTAGTTTTACCCTGTGATATCCATAAACACTGAGAGGAAATATGGGTTGAATTTGGGTTCAAAAATTGTTTTGAGGATATATCCTTCCTATTGAACTTTGTCAAATTCATATCTATTCCAGCATAAATTATATGTATGAAAAAAATGATATGGCAAGATCCCATCACCCTAAAATCTATCCTAAGAGATCCAGCTATTATGGATCATTTGAATAAGTCAGTATACTTAATCGGCTTTATTAATAATATTCACTTTTCACTGAAAGGGTAAAATAATGTCCCTTATAAACCAAATCCACAATGGGGAAGTGAGAAAAGACCATCACTATAAGGCCTTTATCATGTTTTATTATTACTATATTTATAGTATTATAACATCTAGGATAACAAGTTATGAAACAGAACCTTACTCTTCTGCCAGACAGTATAGAAACAGAACAAAAAGATGGTCTCTGCCTCAGAAAGCTTACAAGGTATAATACAAGAGACAACAAATGGAGACAAAGGCTAAGTCTAGACTGCAAGCCTCTTTCGAAAGAGGCTCTTTCGAAAGAGAGCGTCTAGACTGCACATTGAACTTTCGAAAAAGCGGCTTGCTTTTTCGAAAGAAAGCATCCAGTGAGTCTGGATGCTCTCTTTCGAGGAAGCCCTATTTACATTGAAGAACGCCTTCTTTCGAAAGAGGAACTTTCGAAAGAAGGCGTTCTTCCTCGTGAAATGAGGTTTACCGCCATCGAAAGAAAAGCCACGTTCTTTCGATTTAATTTCGAAAGAACGCGGCTGCAGTCTAGACGCAGGTGAGGTTTTTTCGAAAAAAGGCTACTTTTTTCGAAAAACCCCCTGAGTCTGGACACAGCCAGAGAGATAGATGGGGAGGCCAAGAAAACAATGAGTCTGGCTCCTTCACGGTAGGCAATGGTCTCAGCACCAGGGATGTTAAGTGGGTTTTTTGGGGGGAAATGTGTAACTGCTGAAATTTTCATCCTTTACATGTTTATACGTGGGGTGAGGGAGGTGGCTCTGCATAAGCTGGTGTGCATGGGGAGCTGATTTTTAAGCTGGCTCTCCACCATACCAGGTCCAGCAGAGCTGCTTCCCCCCTCCCCCATAATTCAGGAAGGCAAGCAGTTCCACGTGAGCCAAATATAGAGGCAGCAGCATGGGTGGGGGGCTCATCATGAGCAGCCTAATCATTCTTCAATTTTTTGGAGGCGTCGCAGGAAAGGAGGGTTGTGAGGAGTGTTATGTAAAGGATAATGGATTAGTTTTTCAGATGTTTATGAAGAGCTCCTTCCAAGCAGGACGGGCAGCATAGTAGAATACATGAAGTTGTGTGTTTGTTTCCATTATTAGAAGGCATTATGCCATTGTAAGACACCATTTCTTCTAGCTTCCAAAGAAATTGCACTTAGAAATAGGACTTGGCATGCCAAAAATGCTGCTGGGGCCAGAATTCTCCGCTGTGCCACCCGTTTCTCTCCCCCTCCCTGCCCTCATACTGGATTGCCAGCATAGTAGAATACATGAAGTTGTGTGTTTGTTTCCATTATTAGAAGGCATTATGCCATTGTAAGACACCATTTCTTCTAGCTTCCAAAGAAATTGCACTTAGAAATAGGACTTGGCATGCCAAAAATGCTGCTGGGGCCAGAATTCTCCGCTGTGCCACCCGTTTCTCTCCCCCTCCCTGCCCTCATACTGGATTGCCAGTGCTGCCATACCTCCCTCTTCCTGGGCTCTATGGTCCAGGAACATCCATGGTCCATGCTGGAACCCAATGAGTTAATCAAGAAGCAACCTGAACAAAGATGACTTAAAGTTATCTTTGTGCCCCTTTTCCCCACTTGGGCTATGAGTTTCATGCAGCAGAATCTCAGTAAGGATTTATTTTCATATTATTATTATTGTTCTGAAAATAAACTCCTTAAATCAGGAAGGTGGCAGAATGTTTGTAAGGGGACAGAAGAAATCCTTAGGTGGATATGTGGTTGTTAGAAGAAGATGCAGGGTACAAGTGATTTTTCTGCTGCCCCTCACTGAGGACTTCCCTCATTATGGTCTAGTCTTTGAAAGTTCCATTCCCCCTCTTGAGGTAAATATAGCCTTCCGGCCTATATCTGGCCAGAGTAAGTCTCAGATCCAACACTGAGCTCTCAAGGTACAAAATACACCACACAGGTATCTGTCAAACACAAGTACTTTGTTTCCTGACAGCTAACAGCTGTGCCCCATAAATGGAAGAACAATATAACAAAGAAACAACATATCTTACATCCCTTCCTGCAAGCCTGGGACCCCGGGTAGACTGCGGACGAAGCGGAAGGTTGTCTCAGCTTCCGAGGCGCCGGTACCCAAAGCCCATTGGTGAAGTCCAATTTGCTAGGCTCTGAGGCATCCTTAAATACAGTTTTCCTGCCTTGTTTGGCAGTTTGGAAATTTCCAGGGCTTACTCATTAGTGCTGATGTAGGGCTTAGCTGTTAGTTATCGATCTGGTTCTGATCTGGATCTTGTTCTTTTGCCTTGTTTACGTGATCAGTACATTAGGGTAAAAGAATTGTTTATGTGTTCTTGACTTTTACTGTTATCTTATTCTTCTTCTTGCTACACTGGTAACAATTTTTATCTTAAGTGGTGTTGTTATCTTATACTTCTTCTTGCTACACTGGTAACAATTTTTATCTTAAGTGGCGTATGTTCCCAAAGACTTCCTTCTGGCTCATCAGATATAGGGAAAAGGGAAAGGGGGGAAAGAATGCAGGCCTCACCACCCCTAAACTAGCACGTACAAAGTTCTTCTGCAATTGACCACTACATGGCCTAGTCTTTGAAAGTCCCCCATCTTGGGGTAAATACGGCCTTCTGGCCTAGTCCTTAAGCCTGCAGGCTCTTCTGGCCTCCAAGGCACTGCAGTGGCAGAGGATAGGGGGACCCAGGTCCTCCCACTCCACCAGGTCCCAGCCCAGGATCCTATTGGCAGTGACTTGGTCCGCTGCCGCTCAGCAAGGGGTTCCTTCTCTCAACCTGATGGGGCACTTGGGGCTGTATTACTCCCTGCCCCTGGGCTGCTTCCTACCTCCCTGACGTTCCCCTGTAGTCAGACCTCTTTATGGTCTCCAGGTCCGGGGTTGGCGTGGCGGCTGGGGCTGTGGCCTTGGTTCTGGCTGCATGGACTCCTTGGTGTCAGGAGCTAGACTTTTCAGCCCTTCCCCTTCAGCTATCAACCCAAAGTGAGCTGGCTCAGGGCCTTTTATAGTGTGGCTCACTAGTGAGCATGCCCGGCAAGGCCATGGGGGCCAGGGACTCTCCACCAGCTGGAACCTCTCAGCCAGCTGTGCCCTGCCCTCAGGTTCATTTATAGTGTGGGGTGGGGCTGCCCCATCACACTCCCTTTCACATTTAAGGGTTTGAAAATTACCTCTGCCACATTCTTGATGTCATAATTAAAGTGCACTTACCTGTCCAGTATGTTTTAAATCTGAAAAGTATATTTGTGGCTTTTGTTTCTTTTGGAGCAGTTTGCCAACAAATAAGAAAAGAAATTGATGGAAAAGCAAATGCAGTTTTCAGCAGAGTTAAATGGAACACTATCCAATCTACATCATACATTCAGTAGTGGAAAAGGTCCACTTGACCAGTATCCAGCTATATTTAAAGGACAGTGTTAATAACTCTTTGCACTCATATTTTACCTTACTCATTTCTGCTTATTTTATGTTTCCTGCTAGGCTGATGATAAAGACACTGGCAATTACAGCGCCATGCAGTACAGGCTCATCATACCTCCAATCAAGGATGGTAAAGAAGGATTTGTGATTGAAGCCTATGCAGGGCTTATAAAAACTGCTATGCTGTTCAAAAACATGAGAAGGTCCTATTTCAAGTTTCAGGTCATTGCAACTGATAATTACGGAAAAGGACTGAGCAGCAAATCAGAAGTACTTGTAAGTATATGAATCTGTCAGTCTTTCCTTGAAATCAGTCCTGGTACACTAGAGGCAATTCTGACCTAGGTAAAGTTTCAGTTCCAAAGAGTAGAAGGGAAAGGCATGAACTTTGTGAACATGATCTTTTCATGATACTAAAATTATTGTTCCCCAAAGCAAAAGTTTTTCAGAACCCTTGAAAATCATGTGTATGTATGCTAGCAATATGTCTAAACATCCTATTTACTCAAAGACAATACTGAATGTCCTACCTCGGGCAGAAAGCAGGGGTTTTCTAATTCAGGGGATATGCTAATAGGAGATGTATTTAGTCCCAACCTGCATGCAAAGTAAGGTACCCTCTTTGGGTATGAAGCTAGGACAGAGAAGATGCTAGAAGGAGATTCTGGGAACAGCCAAACTCAGGGAGGAAGTTTTGGCTGAGGTTTATAGTTTGTGTGATGTGATCATTTAATAAAAGACCACAAGATATTCTTTCCAGAGGAAATCCTACCTCATTTAGTTCACAGGATGGAGAATGTCCAGGGAAATGAATCAGGTTTGTGTAGTAAGCAAGAATTTTATTTTCAGGTTCCACCTCAGTTGAAGCAAAAGTTGAAAGTTGTAGTGAATGAGTAGGGTACCACATGAAGAAAACAGTTGGTTTCATGATTTAGGCAGATGAAAGCTGCCCCAGATATTTGGATTCTATTTCTGCCTCTCCTACAAAGTTCCTATATGATGCTAGCTAACTCATTTAAATGAAAATGTTCATAGCTAGCTGTTGGGTGTGCCTTATTTTCTGGGTGCTCAGCCTGGGATGCCTGGGGACTGAGTTTACATCTGGAATTGCAGTAAATGGTAGCTGTGCTTAGAACAGATGAAGTACTATAAAAATGCTAAGTACTATGGGTTTCTCAGTTTTGAAAGTGCAAACAGGATAATTACCTCGGTAATTATAGGCCTGTCTGTCTGACATGAATCCCAGGCAAGAAAAGGTTGATAAGGGATTCAATTAACAAACAATTAAAGCAGGGTCATATAATTAATGTCAGTCACCACAGGATTACGGAAAATAGAGCCCGTTAAACCATGCCGATATTAAAAAAAATAGATTGTAAGTATGATAGCAAAGGCACCCATAATGATACTCAAAAGCAAACAATATTAATTTTAATAATGTACAAGTTATTTTGCCTCTTTGTCATTGGTGCAACCATTGCTGTAATATTGTGTCCGATTCCATTGTTCACACTTTGAGGACTTGACAACTGGAGAGGGTTCTGAGAAGAGTTCCAAGAATGAATAAAGGATTAGAAAACATGACTTATAGTCTCTAAGGGTATGTTTACACTAGCCCCCTAGTTCGAACTAGGGAGGCTAATGTAGGCATTCGAAGTTGCGAATCAAGCCCGGGATTTAAATATCCCACGCTTGATTTGCATCTTCCTGGCCGGTCGCCATTTTTGAAATTTACAAGTCCGGACTAACTGCCCGTGTCTACACGTGGCAGGGACCCAGTAGTTCGAATTAAAGCCCCAAGTCTGAACTACCTATTAAACCTCCTTGCACTTACTCTGCATAGATGCTATAATTATAACTTCTTGTAAAGTTGCTACTTTTTAAAATAATTATATTTATGCAGTACTAATGAAATACTTAGGGAGTAACTGTTTTAACCGACTAATGCAATTAATTCTAATAAGCTGTTCATTGCTTTTTGAGCTCCATTTACTGAACTTATCCTGAATTTTATGGTGAGTTCATTACATTTATTTTTTTCTTAGACAGGGGTTTGCATATGCAGATCAGTGCATCTGATGACATTTCAAGAACATTTAAATATTTTAAATTAAATTAAACTTCAAAAGCTGGCAGATCATATTTGGTGTGAAATGATCATAAGGCATGTCTGCCAAAGGGCTTACATGGCTCAAATTTCATTTGTGAAAATCAAGGTGTCTCTTTTATTTTAAGAACAAAATTGGCCCGTCTCATTTTAAATTCCTTATGCTTAATGTTGCCCTACTTTTTCAAATCTTGGCTGGTTACAGAATCCTTCACAGAGACATAATGGCATGCACAGCAGTTGCTATAATTTCCTTATGGATATTCTCCAAGTTATAATAAAGTTTTCAGATTTTACTTTCTCTATAAAGACTGGGAACAAGTATTCATTTTATAACCTAAGAAAATAATACAATTTTCAAACATCATAAAGGTTCAAACTTCTTGTTTGCCAACTCAGTGGCTTAATAATATGATGTATTATTCTGTGATTGCCATAGAACTTTCAATTCTAGTGGTGCTAGTTTAAAACTCTGTTTAAGTGAAGAATGGTTATTTCCCAATCTCAGTTTACCCATATAGATTTCATTTTTCCTCCTTAGTGACAGTAAATGTAAAGGAGAAAGCTAATGCAGACAGAATGCAAAAGAGAAAAGGGACTATGAAATCAGGTCTCAAACATTTAAATGTTTTAAGTTAAAATGAACTTCAAAAGCTGGCAGGTCAGCCATTATCAGCCTGAAAAGAACTTGAGGAAACAGGATTATAATGGATGAAAAATGTTAGCTATTTTAATGTACTCTCTTGGTGCACATAGGTGGTGCCAAGTATTTGATGGTTTTTTAAAACGCCACCTGGGTACAGGAGAGGTGCATGGTTTTTACAAGATGTCAGTGCTTTCCAGGGAAATTAATTCTGTGAGATAAGCAGTGTGGATATTGGATCCTGGCTCCGTTCAAAGCAATAAGAGTTTTCCTTTGGCATCAATACAAGGCCAGGATTTTACCCACAGTTACTAATTTGTTTTAAAAGGTTGGCAGTATAAATTGTTTTTTTCTGATCTATGTATTGAGTACTAATCAGCTGTACAAAATAAGGGAATATCATCTGTGTGTTATTTACATTTTTTGACTCTTTTGGAAGAAATTAACAAAATAGAAGAGATCATACAAATAAAATCTTTTATTGGTGAGTTTATCTACAACAGTGGTTCTCAACTTTTTCCAGATGGGGACCCATTTTGACAATTCAGGAAGACTTGGTGACCCAAGGCAATTCAGAAATGGGGTGACAAGGCAGGGCAGAGCCACCTGGGGAGACACTTGGTGACCCTTTTGAAATGTAATGGTGACCCATATTTGGGTCCCGACCCATAGGTTGGGAAACCCTGATCTACAATGATGCAATCAGTGTGGCAAGCTGTTTAGTATCTAACAGTATTGTTAATTTATTTGATTTAATATAAAATCTTCATTGACATTAAATTAAAACAATTTTAGTATTGCATTATCTGTTATTTCTGGTATTTTAAAAATACTGAAATGTGAATCAAAGGTTTGAAATATGGCAGTAGAGAAATCCATAATGCATTAAATTGGAAATAAAACCAACTTAACATCCTTTCAAAATCATTAATTCTTATACAGTGCTACATCTTATTTGTAGTTAAATCCTTGCTTCCCATTTTGGCTAATAAGCACACCAAGCCTTCCAAATGTACCTATTCTTCAATGGAAAACAGTTTACTTGTGGTTTTTGTATTGGGAGAATGCTATGCATGAAAAGGCCAGCTGTATTTCATTGCTGTGTTATTTCATTGCTGTGTTTTCAGGTTTCTGTGGTCAATCAGTTGGATATGCAAGTCATCGTTTCTAATGTTCCTCCCACTCTTGTGGAACAAAACAAAGATCAACTTATAGGGTAATGAATTTATTTATTATATAAATACCATACATTCAGTTCACTGTTTTTTATTTAAGTTCATCAAATGTTGGTTACTATACACTCTTATTGATCAAGAGTAAGGAAAGAGGTATTTGGATGGAGAGTAGTTTGAAAGATGTAACATTGAAAATTTGAAGGCACATCTATGTAATTCTAGAAAGTACAGATTTAAAAAGAAATATGTGTGTCTTGTAACGTTTTCCTCTTATTTATATCCATTCAACTCCATTGACATCAAAACTAAGTTAATTTGAATTGCATGGTTGCACTGGAGGGTAGAATTTTGGCCCGCAAAATATTGTCATTAGGTCAATATTCAACTTTTGTTATTATTCATATTTGCATATAATGATAAAGGTATTGTTAATGGTAAATATTATTTTATTTACATCATATTATACAAAGAGATTAGCCATATATAGTAGAGAAAAGGAAAATAATTGAAATCCTTAAAGCTTTGGAACAAAACTGAAGAGTTTTGCTATATTTGAAACTGTTCAAAACCATTTTTGTTAGATATATGTTAATATGCTTCACATTCCAATCATACAGTAGTCTCTAGAACTGTTAGGATTTCATGGTTAGTTTCTCTTTTAAGTTGAGAAGAAACTGCTTTACTCTCTCCCTTCAACAATGCAATAATAAAATAATCTAAATAGGAGGGAAAATATTTGAACTTCCAATTTAATTTCTCTCATGAGATCAGGGAAGAAAGTTGTTTGGCTTATTTATGACAGAAATTACTATAGGAGATAGTCACTTTTTTAGCTTTTGCTCTTCTATCAGTTTTTAAGGCACTAACGCAGGCTATTCAGCAGATTGCAGAAATTTCATTCTAGCTTGACTGTCATTGTAATCTTACTCCCCTTGAAGAATGAGAAGCATTAGGAGTAATGAAAAGGAAAACCATCATCCCCACTATACCGCCTGTCTCCGCTGTCCTAGGAAAAAAAAAGTGATTATTCATGAGGATGTGGGTTTTTTCCCCTTTCCCCATTCTATTTTGAACCAGGTATAGTTCAGCTGCTAAATTCTGATGCCAAAACCACTATTTAAATTATCTAGGCAATGATCTGTACTCACAGTGACTATTTCTTAGAGCTATAAATAACAAACATAGACATCTGCTTGCCTAATAATAGGAACTTGCTTTCAAAAAAGTGGCAGTTTTTGGCATTGTCTAAAAATATGCCTCTATAGCAAGACTTATGAGAAGGTCATCAGAAGATAGTTTTGGGGCATCTCCATAAGTTTCATAGCTGAGTTAATTCTTTCCCAGACAGATCTGGGATATTCAAAGCTACTATATATTGTTCTGTGAGGAGTGTTCCCGTGAGTGCTCCACCTTCAGGTGCATCAGCACCGCTGCACACTCAATTGGAGACTTGCGATAGCTGTGCCCTGTGGCCAGCTGCATGTACAGAGTGCCGCCACGTGCAATCTGGAGTGGCTATTGCTCATGTGCAGCTGGCCACCTCCTCAGTTTCTTCTCAACCACTGACAGCTTCAGTCGCAGCTCAGCAGTCTCATTCTACTATACATAGTTTTATTGTGTTCTCATAGTGATTTAAATAGTTATTATATCAGAATTAGTTACTAAATAGTTACATCTTAATTATTCTTTTTCTTAAAAAAAATTTCTTTGGGTTCTATAGCTATTAGGATTAATTATTTAGATTAGGCTTTTTCTGTGGACACTGCAGTTCCACTAAAAACTTCTCCTGCTTCCTGTGATATGCCTGGCTCACCCAGTTTTAAAAAGTGTACCAGCTGCAAACTATCTTTCTCTATATCTGACGGACACAACTGGTGCATCCGTTGCCTTGGGGAAGAGCACCCCATAGAGCGCTATCCTCATTGTCAAAAATGATCAACGGGTACCAGAAAGGCCAACGAGCTAAAAGTAAAGACGACACTCCAATGAGGAAACATTCTCTCCACGAGAATGCAAAAGGTGTTAGATAAGCAACCTAAAGTGGAGCCAACATGACCCCAGTTACAGAGAGAAAGAATACACCTCTGCTAAGGAGCCCCCCTGAGGCAAAGCGCAAACCCTCCCTGCTGGCACCAGCTAAAACAGCTCCAGCACCAGTCACAGAACACCACAAGCAAACCATCCTCTGCCCTCTCCCAACTGGCTCTGTTGGGGCCCATTGGTGGCATACAGAGCACAACAAGGGCACCAACCACAGCTGCCATCCCCAGTACTGAGGTCTCAGGCACCAACACGTCAATCTCCATAACACTACAGCTCGGAAGCGGATGACCTGGAGGTGGACGTTACTGAGGATGAGCACGCATCTCACTCTCCTTACCCCCCAGAATAAAATCTTTTACATGGTGGATCCAACAGGGCAATGAATGTGTAGGTGTCCCTTTCCAGCGCAGCTCTCCGTCAGCCACAGTTACTACAGTTGCATCGCTGGTAGGCTGGGAAGCACACCTAGGCCAAAGAGTAGCTCAGGGCCAATGGACTCAGGAAGAGTCCTGGCAACACGTCAACCTACCAAAACTAATGGCGGTACAAAAGGCAATATTACACTTTCTCCCCCAATACAGAACAGAACAATACAGATCCTCATGGACAATGTTACCACAATGTACTATATCAACAGAGAGGGAGGAGCACGCTCCTACCATTGATGAAGAGAAGCAATCCTACTGTGGGAATGGTGCATCACGCACAACATACACCTAATTGTCCCTTATCTCCCAGTCAAGGACAACATACTTGCCTACACTCTGAGCAGGCAGTTTCCACAGAATCACAAATGAGAACTAAACCAATCAATGCTGACCTGCCTCTTCAAGAAGTGGGGGTTCCCGAAAATAGACCCATTTGCCACATACAAGAATGCTCACTGTCTGCAGTAGTGTTCCACAATACTGTTCCAGAGCAGGCATAGGTCTTCAGCCCCTCGTGGACACCTTCAGCATTCAATGGACAACCCCCTATTGTATGCATTTCCCCCATTTCCTTTAATACAAAGGGTAATCCTCAAGATAAGGCAAGACAGGACCACGGTAATACTTTTAGCACCAAATCGGTCCAAATAAACATTGTACCCATATCTCCTATAAATGAGCATCCGACCACCACACCGATTTCCACTGGTACACTCCCTACTTACACAACACAGGGGTCAAATACCACATCCTACAGTCCACACTCTACACCTCCAAGCTTGTTGGGTAAACAATATGGAAAGATCCTTTCCAGAGTCCTTACAGCTAATCCTAGCAAATTCCAGGAAACTTGCAACGAGGAAGACTTACATGCAGAAATGGAACCATTTCACAGCCTGGTGCAAGACACACTCCTGTGAACACACACCCCACGCCCGACACATAGGAGTCTCACAAATTCTACAATACCTACTGGACCCACACAATGCAGGTCTCTCTTTGAGTTCCATTAAAGTTCATCTTGCTTCCAAATCAGCTCTTCATGCCTTCATACACGGATATTCTGTTTTCACACACCCCTCTGTAAAATGAACATGCTACACAACATGTTCCCCCCACGTAAGGACCCATTCCCAGATGGGACTTGAACCTCATGCTAAAAGTTCTCATGGGAAAGCCATTCAAGCCCCTACCCACATGTTCATTGTTACATCTGTTTATGCAAGTGGCATTCCTCATAGCAGTTACCTCTGCTAGATGTGTTGGCAGCCTTAATGGCAGACCCCCATACACAGTATTCCACAAGGACAAAGTGCTAATGCGGACTCACCCCAAATTCCTCCCCTAAGTACTTACCTCATTCCACAGCAATGAATCCATATATTTACCCATCTTCTTTCCAAAGCTGCACAAGGACAACAAAGAGGCAATTGTTCCATACCTTGGATGTCTGAAAGGCAATTGCCTTTTACCTGCAGCACACAAAACCTTTTCGCAAAAGACATCGACTGTTTGTTTCATCCGCAGAGAGGTCATAAGAGATTACCCATATAAAAACAAAGAATGTCAAAATGGGTAACTAGCTGCATCCACCTGGTGTACGCTGTAGCAGGGAGAGAGCCACCACCCTGGGTCAGGGCCTACTCTAAAAAGGCTATGTCAGTTACTACTGCATTCCTTCACAGTGTACCCATGGAACACATCTGCAATGCTGCCACAGGAGCATCCACGCACACCTTCACACAGCATTATGCGATCCAAACATTTACAGATGCAGAGATGAGATTTGGCCACACAATACTCTTGGTCACAGACTCTCACCTGCCAAAGCTCACTCCTTTTATGACTACTGCTTTGTAATCACCTGATGGTGGAGCACCTACGGGGACACTTCTTGAAGAAGAAAGGTTACTCACCAGGTGCAGTAACTGGAGATCTTCAAGATGGTTGTCTCCGTGGGTGCTTCACCACCCACCTTCCTTCCCTCTGCTTCAGACTCCACCATGTCTGGTTCAGAGAAGGAACTGAGGAGTTGGCCAGCTGCATGTGCACAGTAGCCACTCCAGATTGCATGAACTGGCGCTCCGCACGCGCAGCCGGTCACAGGTCACTGCTATCACAAATCTCCAATTGAGAGTACAGCAGCATTGACACACCTGAAGGTGGTGCATCTATGGGGGCAACCATCTTGAAGAACTCCATTTACTGCACCTGGTGAGTAACCTTCCCTTCTACTCCTTTTATGTATCATAAATGGTTTGAAGCATATGTGAGAATCTTACCCAAAGAGTCCAGAATTCTGGAAAAAGCTGTTACTGAAAACTTATTCAAACAAACCTGTTAATTTGTTTCAGCAGCATTCACAAGTCAACACTTTTTATTCATATTCTAAATATGTGTGTGTGGATTTGATTGTTTATTTAGGAAAAATATTGAAGAAAATGAAGATATCAAGACTATTCATACAAATATATATTGTTCTGAAAGTTTTAGCTGGAAATATATTTCCATGGCTTTCCTTAAATTCCTTTGATTTTCCTCCTGCTGTTTATAATAGCTTTAATCATTCA